CGGAAAGGGCTCCGTCCCAGGTTTCTCTTTTAGTAGGTAAACCTGTCCCCGGTGCCATGCGGGAGGTGGGCCGGCGGAATTAGTTCCTGATAATTTCCGAGGTCGAGGTGGGCCGGCGGAATTCATTGGGAGGATACCTCGAGCAAAACGCTTGTTTTTCATAATTTGTTGAGAATGTCTCGAGCGAAACGCTGGTTTTGCAGAGTTGGGGATGTCTCGAGCGAAACGCTTGTTTTCAGAATTTGTTGAGGATTTCTCGAGCGAAACGCTGGCTTTGCAGAACCGACCGCGACGCGGAAAAGCGCCCCGCGCGCAGGAATTTCGAGGATGTCTCGCGCGTGCCGCGTCCCGCGCGCAGGAGTTTTGAGGATATCTCGACTAATTCGTTTGTTTGTCTAGGATTTCTTTGAGTTTTGGCAGGATGTCTCGAGCGATTTTTTTTTTTTTTTTTTCTCTCCATAATTTGTTGAGGATGTCTCGAGCGAAACGCTGGTTTTGCAAAATTGGGTGATGTCTCGAGCGGGGGCCTCGTGGGGAGCCAGAATTCAGAGGATGCTTCAGGCGAAATGCTTGTTTTTACGTCCCGCTGGCAGGACTTCTGAGGATGTCTCGGGCGTGCCGCGTCCTGCGCGCAGGACTAATTCGGCTGTTTTGCAAGGATTTGTTTCCCAACCCTCCTGCGTTGGGTTCTCGTTTTGAATAGAGCACTGCTCGCGCGAACCTGCCCACCCCCTCCCGTCCCTCTCTTCCCCCCTGCCTTTGACCTCGCTCGTCGCTGCGTTTCGAGGGCTGCTGGGGGGCTGCGATCTGTGAAACTGTCGCCACTTTCGAGGCCTGCTGGGGGGCCCAGCACAGTGGGTACCCACGGCGGATTCAAATGGGACCTCGCCATCCCTGGGGGGCTGCGATCTGTGAAACTGTCGCCACTTTCGAGGCCTGCTGGGGGGCCCAGCACAGTGGGTACCCACGGCGGATTCAAATTAGACCTCGCCATCCCTGGGGGGCTGCGATCTGTGAAACTGTCGCCACTTTCGAGGCCTGCTGGGGGGCCCAGCACAGTGGGTACCCACGGCGGATTCAAATTAGACCTCGCCATCCCTGGGGGGCTGCGATCTGTGAAACTGTCGCCACTTTCGAGGCCTGCTGGGGGGCCCAGCACAGTGGGTACCCACCGCGGACTCAAATTAGACCTCGCCATCCCTGGGGGGCTGCGATCTGTGAAACTGTCGCCACTTTCGAGGCCTGCTGGGGGGCCCAGCACAGTGGGTACCCCGGCGGATTCAAATTAGACCTCGCCATCCCTGGGGGGCTGCGATCTGTGAAACTGTCGCCACTTTCGAGGCCTGCTGGGGGGGCCAGCACAGTGGGTACCCACGGCGGATTCAAATTAGACCTCGCCATCCCTGGGGGGCTGCGATTTGTGAAACTGTCGCCACTTTCGAGGCCTGCTGGGGGGCCCAGCGCAGTGGGCACTCACGCCGGATTCAAATTAGACGCCGCTTTCGTCCTTGTTCTCCTCCTGCAGTCACCTTCCCTCTGCTGCTGCCGTGCTGATGATTCGGCTTCCCGCACGTTTTTCTCCTGCTCTGCGTTCCCGACTCCCCATGTCCTCTTCGAGCCTGTAGCTGTCGCCCCTCGTTCTTGTATGGTTCTCCTGCGCATCATGCCATAGGCGCGTGTCCCAAGTAGCTGACACATCAAGTTGATTGTCCATGCAAGGTTCGGCCAACTCCTCGTTTCCATTGATACAAACGGGTTGGGTACGTCACAGGTTAATTTGATGTTGGCAGGATGTCTCGAACGAAACGTTTTTTTTTGTTGTCCTTCAGAATTTGTTGAAGATGTCTCGAGCGAAACGCTGGTTTTGCAAAATTGGGGGATGCCTCGAGCGGGGGGCCCGTGGGGGGCTAGAATTCAGATGATGTCTCAGGCAAAATGTTTGTTGTCACGTCCCGCTCGCAGGACTTCCGAGGATGTCTCGCGCGTGCCGGGTCCCGCGCGCAGGAGTTTTGAGGATGTCTCGGCTAATTCGTTCGTTTGGCAATGAATTCCTTGAATATTGGCAGGATGTCTCGAGCGACATGTATTTTATGTAATTTATTGAAGATGTCTCGAGCGAAACGCTGGTTTTGCAACATTGGGGGATGCCTCGAGCGGGGGCCGTGTGGGGGGCCAGAATTCAGAGGATGTCTCAGGCGAAATGCTCATTTTCACGTTCCGCTCGCAGGAATTCAGAGGATGTCTCGCGCGTGCCGCGTCCCGCGCGCATGAATTCAGATGATGTTGAAAGGATGTCTCGAGCGAAACGCTGGTCCCCAGCACGTTCCGTAGCGCGTCCCCTTGGCACGCCCCGCGGTGCGACCCCATGGCACGTCCCTTGGCACGTCGCTTGGCGCGTCCCTTGGGACGTTCCGCGTCGCGTCCTCTTGGCATGTCCCCCTGTCAATTAGCTCTGGGGCAGCTGTGTTCAGGCAGCTCGAGCTTAAGATCCAGATCAGTTCGGTCAGGACTCGGATGCAAAGGAGGACTCGACCCACGAGGCTATAGAGCACAATCGCGGCATGGCACATCGCAGTTCAGCACGGTGCAGCACAGCACAGTTTTCGGCACGGTACATCAATATTGATACACTCAGCATTGCAACTTGGCACGTTCCTTGGCACGTTCCGTGGGGCGTCCCTTGGCGAGTCCCCCTGACACGTCGCGTGGCGCGTCCCCTGGCACATCCCGTGGCACATTCATTGGCACGTTCCGTAGCGCGTCCCGTTGGCACGTCCCGCGGTGCGACCCCATGGCACGTCCCCTGGCACGTCGCTTGGCGCATCCCTTGGGACGTTTCGCGGCGCGTCCTCCTGGCATGTTCCCCTGTCCATTAGCCCTGGGGCAGCTACTATGTGTTCAGGCAGCTCGAGCTTATGATCCAGATCAGTTCGGTCAGGACTCGGATGCAAAGGAGGACTCGATACACGAGGCTATAGAGCACAATCGCGGCATGGCACATCGCAATTCAGCACGGTGCAGCACAGCACAGCCCTCGGCAGGGTACATCAAGATCGATACACTCAGCATTGCATTTGCCCGTCACCCAATCAGGTGTCTTTGAAAACGCTGCCATGTGTTACAGTTCTAGGTTTCGGTTCGGTTTCGGACCCCTGCGATTTAAGGAATTCTGCTAATTCGGCGTGATACGACGGTGGCGGCGGCGCTGATGATTGGATGATGGTTTTTTTGTTGCCGCGGCGGCGTGGGCCCGCTGTTCAACCCCAGGCATGGGTGGCCCCATTCTCACGCCATGCACGCGCGAGCCCAGCATGTAGTTCGCATCACAGGCGCTGCCGAGCCTCGAGATTATTTGCTGCCTCAGGACCCGAGGCGCCGCGTCATATACCCCCAGCCAGTGTGACCTCCGCCACGTGGGAAAGGAACGTCTTCGTCGGCAGGGAGTAGGTGTGGCCGCCATCGACCGAATGCGTCTTCGTGACGGCCTTCCTGTACTGGAACTCCGTCACCCAGCGGGCCCACTTCCGCCTATCCGAGGTAGTCGGCAGGCGGCCGCCAAGGCGCTTCTTGAGCCACCTCTTGAGGACCGACCAGCGGTTCTCGATGTGGTTCGTTGTGAAGCCGCGCTGGTTCTTCACCTCTCCCTTCGAGTGGACGACGATCTCGTGCTTCAAGTCCCTGTCCGACCATCCATTCCTGTCCCTGATGTGCTTGATGGCAGCGATCGTGGCGCGCCACCCGTCCGTGGCGACGACCATGCCCTTGCGAAGGCCCAGCGTGTCGAAGTTCGTCACCATCTCTTGCTTACCGCGGGGGCGTCCGTCGAACGCGTCCTCTGGGTGCTCCAGGATTCGGAAGACGAAGTTCTCTGGGCTGCCCTGCACGACCGCGCCCCACAGCCACACTTTGTCCTTCTTGGGGCGGGTGCCTGGCGCGAGGCGGCTGACCTTGGACTTGTTCAAGAAGACTTCGCCGGCCTGCACGATGAACTTGGACGGCTTCTTCTTGGAGATCGTCTTTTTCACGCCCCTCTTGCCCTTGGCCTTGGCACGCTTCTTGAAGTCCTCGTGCAGCTTTGGGAGCGAGATCTTGTCGGCGATGTAAGACGCGGCGACATCCTGGAACTTCTCCATCCAGGGGCCCGCGACGTTGTGCTGCTTGCCGCGCTCGTGGACGATCTTCAAATGGGGGTACTCCTGGGCCCACATGACCATGCAGTCGAAGAATGGGAGCCAGTTCGACGCCTTGACATCTGCCAACAAGGTGTCCTTCGTCATGGAGATCTCAACGTCGCCGCATGCGTCGCAGCAGCCAGCGCGGTCGTAGCGAGGGCCCCGCCACTGCCAGCGCGCCGCGCGGTCAGACGTCCCAGACTTGACCTTCATGGTGAACTCGGCGCCGCACTCTGGGCAGCAGTACTCATCGGGAACCACGCCGAAGTGCTGGGCAAAGACCATCAGCGGCGTCGCGGGGTCCTGTGGATACGGCGACATATCCTCGATGTTGGCGTACTTGACTACGGCGAGAAACTCCTCCCTCGTGTCGAAGGCCGATGCGTCGAGCGCCTTCTTGAAGCTCTTGATGTTGTTGTACGTGTGCGCCATGCCTGCCATCGCCGCAAGCGCCCCCGATATGCGGTCTGCCGATGCGCCCTCGAGCCAAAACAGCTGCGGTGCAAGCGAAGCGATGGGTGAAGGAACTGTGGCTGCGCGGTTGGGCTATGGTTGGCTAGCGGCGAGCCGCGGAGGCAATGACGCATGGGTGCCCGCGCGCGATGCCCATTCTTGCAACGTGCGCTGGTTTCAACCAATCGGCTCAAATGAATCTAAGGACGTGTATGCATCGAGAAGAAAACGATATATGTGCACGGCTATGAAGCGTGCTAACGGCTCATCTGGGGCACCAGCGGCGCGCGCCCCCTCGGCGGCGCGCGCCCCGTCATTGCCCGAGCCGAAAGCGGCAACACTGCCCGCGCATGGGCACCCCGCTCACAGAACACCTCACTCCTCCATGGCGCCGCCCTGGCCCGCGGCGTCCTCTGCTGCCTGATTGCGGGCTTCCTCCGCTAGCTGGCGCTCACGTTCTTCCTCCAAGTCTAAGTGGCGCTCGAGCTCGGCCTGCAAGTCGAAGTCGTCGCCCGCCGTGTCAGGGCGCTGACGGGGCGGAGTGGTGAGGTCTATCTGCGTGCCAGAGAGCACCTGGTTCTGGTTGAAGAACGCCTGCTGGATCTGCTCGTAGATCGCGGCCTGCTCAGCCAAGTCCACGTCGCTGAGCTCCCCGCCGCACCCGAAGGGAGCCCTGGCGCCCGTCGCGAGGCGCTTGCGGGGAGGCGACATGAGGTCCACCAACGCGCCGCTGTCCCTCTTGTTGCCCTCGAAGAATTGATCCTGCATCGCGGCGTAGATCGCCTGCTGCTCGGCCGCATCCACGTTGCTCAGCTCGCCAGCGCACCCCATGCCAGCGACCGCAGATGGCCCTGACAAGCCGCTCGAAGAAGCCGCGCCACTGCCTGAACCGCCCACTGGCAGGGGCACGACCTCTGGCTGGACGCTGTGCACGGGCTGCCCGAAGAGCGAGGCACCGCGGGTGATCGACACGGTGGGCGCGTCCTCGCCGCGCATCAGGCGCTTCGCGAAATTCAGAGACCATTCTGATTTCTCCTTGAAGTCGGTCGGGTAGTTGTTCGACGAAGTTGGGTCGTCTTTGTACCTGCCGAAGCACGCGCGCGCCTCGGGCGAGTAATTGAAGAGGTCAGGCTTCGTCTTCTTGGTGTATGTGAAGAAGGGCGCGACTCCGTCTTCTGGGAACTCATCGGATGCTAGGCGGAAGTACACGCGCGCGTCCGTGGTCACGACGACGTGGGTCCTCGCGAGCAAGGCTTTCATGTCCTCTTCCTCTGTGACCTGCTTCAGGGAGGGCGCGATGAGATTCATGAGCTGCTTGGGCGGAATCTCCATTGCTTGCCCCTGGCGCCAAGCTGCCACCAATCTTTTCTCCAATGCATTATCGTAGCTGTTGTTCACTGCCTGGCGGGGCGCCCCTGGGGCGAACGTGCTGGACCCCCACCTCGCCCACAAGGTGGAGTCCTCCTCGCTCGGGTTAAGGAACGCCTTCAACACGGACGCGTCCTGCTTGTGCAAGTCCCCGTCGTCGAACACCGCGGGCAGCACCCTCTCCACGTGCTCGCCCTTGAAGAAATCAAAGTGCTTGGCGGTGACAATGGAAGGCTCGGGGGCGCCCTCCCCATCATCGCCCTCAAGGGCGTCGATCTCCAGCATGGACATCAAGAATGCAAGGGTCTTTGACGCAGTCGACTTCCCCACTCTGGTCTTGCCGATCCAGAGCACGCCGTTGCGGCGAAGCGTTGGCAGGATCTTCACGAGCACCTCGTTGATGAACCACGGCTCGAAGTCCTTCAGCGTGAGCGCCCAGACAGTGAGGCGCTTGGCATTGATGCGCCCGCCCGCATGGTTCCGCAACGCCTGGATCACGCGGGACTCCTCCCAGCCGTAAATTTTCGACTGCGGGTCGTTGACCTCCTGGGGGGGCGGGGAAACAACGGCGCCGCTTAGCTAGCCGCAACCGCTCGGCGGCCAAAGCGCCTGCGCGACCGAGGAGGGTGTCGGGGGGAAGAGGGTAGCAAAGGGGCTAGCCAAATGGCGCCGTTTTCCCCCGCCGAACCGTCCTTGTCCGGGAACTCCATGAACTGGTTGCGGTTGTTGCTCTTCGGGCCCTTCTTCTCGATGTATCGGTACCCCTCGAGCTTCTTATCCCACTCGGTCGAGCGCTTGGCAGGCTTCGCCGTGGCTGTCAGCGTGGAGAAACGAACCTGTAAGCCGCCAAGTTTCTCCGGCCTGCCCTATTCTGGTTCCCATACTGGTACACGACGCCTGTGCCATGACACATTGGCTCGCAGCTTGCCATCTTCAAGAACTGGCCCTTCAAGTCAACGTCTTTGAAGATGTGCACCTTGCCCTCCCCAGCGCCGACGACGAAAATCTGCATGACGTATGTCCCGCCAGGTTGGCTCTTGAGGTTGAAAGGCGGAGGGGGGCCGCTAAAATTGGACTTCGTCGCAAGGTCCTTGACCACGTCCAAGCGGCACGGTTGCCCTCGTGCGTCCTTCCACCCCGTGAGGACACCGACTGCTTTCCCGTCGGGGCCCTGGATCTCCCCGTAGTCCTGGTTCATCAACAGGTCCCCAAAGTAGGCGATCTTCGTGCCCGCATGGACGTTCATGGGCGCAGCAGGAAGGTCCGCGATTTTCGACGCCCCCTCTTGCCCGACGTGGCCGTGCGGGAGGCCAGCGTGGAAGTGGGGCTTCATGCCGTCGGCGTGTGCGAGAGCTTCGCCGAAGTTGATGCTTTCGTCCCCAACTGCGTCCCCAAGAGTCTCGCGGAGGGTCTTGGGGAGGATCACGTTCTCCCTCGCCATGGCAGTCGCGAAAGCGAAGCGTAGGCGCGAAAGGCGCGTGCGATGAAACAGCTTGAGCCGATCGAGACGCGGGAAGTCTGACGAAGCAGGTTCGCGACCGTTTCGGCGCAACCCTTCTCTGAGCCAAAACACCAGCAGTGTGAAGGCGAACGCTTGTAATGATTGATCAATAACAATCCCATGTTACCTTGCTGGGTTTGTCTTGGTTTCATTTATGGGTGTAATCCAGAACCCTCTCGTGGGCCTCTTGTGCGTCCTCTCCTAAGTGCACCCCCTGGGCCATTCCTGGGTGATGATGATGATTTTTTCCGTCCTCTCGGGTTCCGAAAGCGGTTGCTGCTCAAAGCTGGTGGTTGCGCTCTCTCTCTCTCTCTCTCTCTCTGTCTCTCTCCCTCTCTCCGGCCCTCTCAGTCCGAGTCCGAAGAGGAGGAGGACCTCCCCATAATCGGGGACGTAGACGAGGAAGAGCCCGAGGAAGAGGAGGAGCTGCTGGACTTCTTGGCGGGGCGCTTCTTGATGATCTTTTTCCCCTTTGCCGCCCTCAACCTGCTCCTGCGCTGCGACTCCTTGTTCCTCCTCTTTTTCTCCTCCACACTCATCGGCTTGCGAGTGCACACCATCGCGGGCGGGGCCTGCTTGGTGGTCAAGCGCCGAAGCGACGTAAGTTTCCAACCGCTATTGCTCCTGATTTGCTCGATGGTCCGTTGCTTCTTCGTCGAGGCCTCCGCCTCCTGCTCCATAGCAGGCTGCTTCTTCGTCGAGGCCTCCGCCTCCTGCTCCATAGCAGGCCCGCGGGGCATAGCTAAGCAATGAAAGTGGTATGGAGAGATTGAGCCTGCAAACAGCTACGGACATGACGAGGATGGCGGTGATGACGAGTACGGCGTTCACGTGCTGCCGATGACGATGCTGCTGACGAGGATCGTTTTCAAGAGAATGCCGATGACGATGATGATGACAACTATGCTTTTCAAGATGCTGTCGATGACGGTGCTGATGACGTGCATCAGTCCCAAGATGCTGTCGATGACGATGCTGATGACGAGCGTTGTTTTCAAGAGAGTGCCGATGACGATGATGATGACAACTATCCTTTCCAAGATGCTGTCGATGACGATGCTGATGACGTGCATCAGTCCCAAGATGCTGTCGATGACGATGCTGATGACGAGCATCGTTTTCAAGAGAGTGCCGATGACGATGGTGATGACAACTATCCTTTCCAAGATGCTGTCGATGACGATGCTGATGACGTGCATCAGTCCCAAGATGCTGTCGATGACGATGCTGATGACGAGCATCGTTTTCAAGACAGTGCCGATGACGATGATGATGACAACTATCCTTTCCAAGATGCTGTCGATGACGATGCTGATGACGTGCATCGTTTTCAAGAGAGTGCCGATGACGATGCTGATGACGAGCATTGTTTTCAAGAGAGTGCCGATGACGATGATAATGACAAATATGCTTTCCAAGATGCTTTGGATGACGATGCTGATGAAATGCATCAGTTTCAAGATGCTGTCGATGACGATGCTGACGACGATGCTCATGACAAGTACGATGATCAAAATTGAGTGGAAAAACTCTTGAGGAGCTGCGCCTCGCCGAGAACGTTCCGGAGGCCCGACCTAAGACCCGAAAGTGATGCGATGGTGGACGACAAGGCGGAGGAGGAGGAGGGAGATGCAGGAGGGGCAAGAGGGCGGCTTTCGATGACGATGGTGATGACGTGGAGGAGGAGGGGGAGGAGGAGGGGGTGACGAGAAGGACCAGGGGGAGGGGAAAGGAGAATCTGGGGGGGGGGGTCGGTGTCGAGGAGGACGACGAGGACGACGAGAGCAAGAGACCATTGGGAAAACCAAAAAAAAGGAAGCAAAACAAAAATAATAAAAGCAAACAAAACAATAAAAACAATGTTTCGCAAGGATTCGCCTCGCTGTCCGTATTCTCCCAGAACATTGTTTTTTTTTGCTTTTATTGCTTTTATTCCCGGAAAGGGCTGGGGCCCAGGGTTCTCTTTTAGTAGGTAAACCTGTCCCCCGGTGCCTGCTTGAGGGAGGCCGGCGAATTTTTTCCCTGATAAATAACGAGGTCGAAGGAGGCCGGCGAATTAAAATTTGAGGATGTCTCGAGCGAAACGCTTGTTTTTGAAATCCCGAGATATTTTTTTCGTTGTTGAGGATGTCTCGAGCGAAACGCTTGCTCCGCAGAGTTTGCCGAGGATGTCTCGAGCGAAACGCTTGTTTTGCAGAGCCGACCGCGACGCGGAAAAGCGCCCCGCGCGAAGGAATTTCGATGATGTCTCGACTAATTCGTTTGTTTTTGTACGATTTCCTGGAATTTTGGCAGGATGTCTCGAGCGAAATGCACGACCCCACCCTAGCACGACCACGCCCCAGCACGACCACACCCCAGCACGAACACACCTCAGCACGACCCCACCCCAGCACGACCCCACCCCAGCACGACCATACCCCAGCACGACCACACCCCAGCACGACCCGACCCCAGCACGACCCTACCCCAGCAAGACCACACCCCAGCACGACCACACCCCAGCACGACCTCACCACAGCACGACCACACCCCAGCACGACCACGCCCCAGCACGACCACGCCCCAGCACGACCACGCCCCAGCACGACCACCCCCTAGCACGACCACCCCCCCAGCACGACCACCCCCCAGCACGACCACCCCCCAGCACGACCACACCCCAGCACGACCACTCCCCAGCACGACCACACCCCAGCACGACCACACCCCAGCACGACCACACCCCAGCACGACCCGATCGATAAATCACAAGGTGCGGAGCACCCCAGCACGAACCCACCCCAGCACGACCCCACCCCAGCACGACCCCACCCCAGCACGACCACGCCCCAGCATGACCACACCCCAGCACGACCACACCCCAGCACGACCACTCCCCAGCACGACCCCACCCCAGCACGACCCCACCCTAGCACGACCACACCCCAGCACGACCACACCCCAGCACGACCCCACCCCAGCACGATCACACCCCAGCACGACCCCACCCCAGCAAGACCACACCCCAGCACGACCGCACCCCAGCACGACCTTACCACAGCACGACCACACCCCAGCACGACCACGCCCCAGCACGACCACGCCCCAGCACGACCACGCCCCAGCACGACCACGCCCCAGCACGACCACGCCCCAGCACGACCACCCCCAGCACGACCACCCCCCCAGCACGACCACCCCCCAGCACGACCACCCCCCAGCACGACCACACCCCAGCACGACCACTCCCCAGCACGACCACACCGCCTTGGTTGAGTGGTTGCCTGTCGTCGTGGAATGTTTCGTGGGGTGTCTCGTGGAATGTTTCGCGGGGTGTCTCGTGAAATGTTTCGTGAGGTGTCTCGTGGAATGTTTCGTGAGGTGTCTCGTGGGCTGTTTCGTGAGGTGTCTCGTGGGATGTTTCGTGAGGTGTTGCCCAGTTGGGTATCATGAAAACGTGTCCATGCTCCACATGTCTATATCCCTTTCCGGGTTCGTGGGTCCATCATGTGTTTTTTTTTCCCGGAAAGGGCGTGGGCCCAGGGTTCTCTTTTAGTAGGTAAACCTGTCCCCCGGTGCCAACTTGAGGGAGGCCGGCGAATTTTTTCCCTGATAAATAACGAGGTCGAAGGAGGCCGGCGAATTAAAATTTGAGGATGTCTCGAGCGAAACGCTTGTTTTTGAAATCCCGATCGATAAATCACAGGGTGCGGGCCACTTTTTCGTGTGTTGAGGATGTCTCGAGCGAAACGCTTGCTCCGCAGAGTTTGCCGAGGATGTCTCGAGCGAAACGCTTGTTTTGCAGAGCCGACCGCGACGCGGAAAAGCGCCCCGCGCGAAGGAATTTCGATGATGTTTCGACTAATTTGTTTGTTTTTGTACGATTTCCTGGAATTTTGGCAGGATGTCTCGAGCGAAATGCACGACCCCACCCTAGCACGACCATACCCCAGCACGACCACACCCCAGCACGACCAGACCCCAGCACGACCCCACCCCAGCACGACCCCACCCCAGCACGACATACCCCAGCACGACCACACCCCAGCACGACCCGACCCCAGCACGACCCTACCCCAGCAAGACCACACCCCAGCACGACCACACCCCAGCACGACCTCACAACAGCACGACCACGCCCCAGCACGACCACGCCCCAGCACGACCACGCCCCAGCACGACCACGCCCCAGCACGACCACCCCCCAGCACGACCACCCCACCAGCA